AACGGATAGAAAATTCTGTGGGGTAATTTAGGTATAAGTGAGTGTAGAAAAATTGTGTGGTTGTAATTTTTTTTAACATAGTGGATTTTTCTACGGCCTTGTTGCCCTGGTGGTTTTTCCCTCTTTGTTAACAGAGGGTTTTCCACGTTAAACTTTGTGTTCTCCAGTTTTATTATTTTCAGTATATCTTGGGCGGAGTTTCGGTGTGGTCGGAATTCCCAACAAGTGATATCAGAGAGCAAGGTTAGCCTAGTTGGTATTCTGAGTATGCTCTGTAGTTGCAGTTTTGTCTGATCTTCCACATCATAAAAGATACTAAAGAGGTCTGTTCGTGCAGTGGAGCCAGTGACGGGTGGAGCTTGTGTGCAGGGGAGTTTCTTTGTGCAGTGGGGAATAATTACTGTGTAAGTAGGTTCTGTCTAGGAGACTGATTTTTTAAGTGGGACCGTTGTGACCCCACCAGCCTTTCCTGGGAGCTTACTTAGAAGGGTAATTCTTTAGGGGGCAGGTCGCTACCCTCCCTGAGAATTTATCTGATCAGTACTATTCAAGGTTGCTGCTCGGTTTTCTGCGAAGTTAGTGTTCACTAATTTACGAAGATGTTTGGAAATAAGATATCGAATCTGGCGAGATTTGATGTGGAGAAATTCGACGGAAAAATCAACTTTGGCTTGTGGCAAGTGCAATTGAAGGACGTGCTGATTCAGTCGGGGTTACACAAAGCTTTGAAGGGCTCGGAAATTCCCAAAGGCAGTGCTAGCAGCAGCACTGAAGAAAAAGCTGGTGTGAGCAAATCTGGAATGAGCGATGAAGATTGGGAGGAACTGGATTTGAGAGCGGCAAGCGCGATACGACTGTGTCTGGCCAAGAATGTTCTTGCTAATGTGCATGGAATTTCGACGACAAAAGCATTATGGGACAAGCTTGAGGAGTTGTATCAGGCTAAAGGTGTCTCAAATCAGGTGTATTTGAAGGAGCAGTTTCACACACTGCGAATGACTGAAGGTCAAAGCATCTCAGACCACTTAAGCGTTCTCAATGGGATCGTCTCGGAGCTGGAATCCATTGGAGTGAAGATTGATGATGAGTATCAGGTGTTGAGACTCATCTGGTCTCTTCCAATTTCTTATGAACACATGAAGCCGATCTTGATTCATGGGAAGGAAAGAATTGTATCTTCTGAAGTCACTGGTAAACTTCTTGCGGAAGAGAGAAGGCTAGATGGTGGACGAAACAATTCACCGGAAGGTCAAGTCATGCTCGTCGGTGACGGAAAGAAGAGGAACTCCGTGAAGAAGCAAGTTGTGATTTGTTGGACGTGTGGACAATCTGGGCACGTGAAAAGAAATGTCCGAAAGGAGGAGCAGGTTCGGCAAAAAGCTCCAAATCGGTAAGTGGAGATACCAAAGAAGCAAATTTTGTCTCTCTCTCCATGGATGATTTTTGCTAAGAGAGAAAGGGGAGTCCTAATGGCATGTCGCTAAGTGTCATGAAAGAGGACGTGTTACAATTAGCGGGTCCACAGTTTACACACGGGCATTGGTTTGGCGGTGATGCAAGGTGTATGGTGGAAAAAGCGTGTCGAGGGCTGATGAACTTCTAGGAAAGCCAAACGCGGAAGTTGCACCATAGATTTCAGCAAGGTTATTTCGACATGGGCCGAAGAAATGCTT